CATATTTTTGTCCATCTTGTTTTTTTCCCTTTTACATTAACTCATTTCTCATTGCAATGAAAAAAAACACACGTCGGATATATAGGCATGTTTTCGACACGCTTACTGGTTATCTGAGCTTGACATCATTCAGTATTTGTTTCTTGCTCATCATTCCTTGAACATACAACTACTCAAATTGGAAAAATAAATTTGAAGATGAGAGATATGAAATAGAAATTCTTCAAATTTGTTTCATATACTGTACTGGTCAACAAGATTCACAAAAACGTATTTTTCGTTTGCTTTTTGGTCATTTTCACCATTTTCAGGAGCTTGCAGCTCGGCTTTAAAGTTTCCAGTCGTTTTGAAAACTTTGGAGGGTGCAAAACAGACCAAAATCTCAAACTTTGGAGTCAGAGAATTTTTGAAATTCCCTAGTCCTATTTGCCAATTTCTTAATGAAGTGTTTCAGGAATCGACATAGCGGAAAAACTACGAGTTTTCAGAGAAAATTTGATCTTAATAAATCTGTCTGTGCAAAGTTGTCAATCTAGTTCTGTTTCACACCCTCCAAAATTTTCAAAGTGTTCTTAAAATCGACATTCGAGCTCCTGGCTTTTGAAAACGGTCAATATCAACGTTTTTTAAATATCTTATTGGTCACTACTGTAATTCCCTCAATAAGTTGAACTTGTGGGCCCGCCGTTGGAAGTGCGACACTGCAACCAGCTGAGCTAGGCGGCTCAAATAGCTACGCCGACAGCCATCATATATAAAGCGCCGTAATGTTAAAATGTAGACCGTAAATCCAAAAAATGTTTCAAAAATACTCTTCTCTCTCCCTTTTCGAAGAAAGTCTAGTCGCTAGCCACAAATTCTTAAAAAGTGCCTTGTCTCTTCTTAATCTTCCGTCAATCTCCGCCGTAGACTTAGTCGATTTTGACCAGGGGTCTCCGTGTCCTGCTTCGGTGTAAATTGGCCAAATTTCATTTTCAAACGGAGGAAAAAAGGAACACGATATCATTAAAAAATCCGAAATTCTCACATTAATCTTCAAGATGTTGTATTTGAAAATTTTCTCCCGGACAATTACAAATTTGAAATATTTTAACTCGTGCGTTTTTTATGGAATACAGTAGTTACTCAGCAGCTCATTTTTTAGTTTCCCATTCGACGTGAATTCAAAAATTGTTAAGCATGTATTTTTTCGAATTTTTCATACAATTTCATGATTCAATGAGCCATAATCACAGGCTTTTTCAACCTGATAATTTTAGTCGGCCTGCAAAATTCAAAATCTGGCGAACCTAGGGATTGTCACATGACAAAAAACGTTCAAAAGATCAGAAAGGTTTCTAAGTTAGGGAAAATCGGCTTGCAACTTCTTGTACTTCCGTGACAATTGGAGCATGATAAGTTATCAATCTGAAGCTTAAAAATTAAGCACCTGCCGGTGTTGCCTGAGTGCACACTTACAATGTGCCAAAAAGTACAATGCAAGAATGCCCTTCTTTCAATTCACAAGTATAATACAAACACCATGAAATTGCAAAGGCAGTTTTATATGGCACATATTTCTGGCAGGTAAGTCGAGTGTCTTCCGTTTTGCTTCTGTGCACATCCTTCTTATTGCTCTTTTTCTCTTTCTCTTTTTGGTGGGGCCACCACCACACATTGAGAGCAAATAGTACGGATCAACAGAACAACCACGCGGTGGGGGAGACAGCAGGCCGTTTCTATTGATCTGGCTCAAACCAAAGAAAGTTTCATTTTTCGCTCGCCCACTTCCACCGGTTCTCGGGTTTTTTGTGCCCTTTTTGCGCGAATGCGTTTGAAGAATGCTCTGTTCTATGACCAGCTTCTTCCTTATTCTTGCAAAATGTTTTTAATTTGAAAAATTCTTTGAATACTATAATTCCATCAGCTAAAAACTGAAAACAAAAAGAAGAGAAAAACCAGAGATGAACGATCATTATGTTCTCCGTTCTATTTTCCTGCTGCTCAGGGAAACCTGACATTCTGAGTATTCATATTTTTTAGTGTTCCTTTTCTGTTTTGTTGTCATGAGATGCAGGGGAAAATCTCTTAAAAATTTAGTCGCTATTCTTCTTACTGATAATCGAGAGACCACCGGAAGAAGAAAAAAAAACCACAGGTCTAAATGGTTTTCTCTCTCCCCTCTCTCTCTCTCACTTATTCTTTTATTCAATTTCCCATACCACACCCAATTTTTCCTTCATTTCTTCTTTCATCAAAGCAGTAATTTAAGTAAAAGTTGATGCGGAAGTACAAGGAAAATTTTGAGAATAATTTCATTTGCTTCTTTGCTAAACAATTTCTTGGAATAGCTAGAAGCGACTACTTGCTCTTGTGAATGAAAACAATCGAGAAAAAAGACACAAAATTGGTTTATATATTCTCACATCATATTTTGTCAGAGAATCGAGCAATTTGTATAAACCCACTGAGCATCAACCACGCACAGAAACCGTCAATGTTATTTTTTCATAGATTGAGTTAATTATTGAGGGTATTCAATTCTGAAATTATTAGTCTTTGGTGGAGAAGTGCCTTTGTTGGAAAGTAAATTTTCTCCTATTCACCATAAGGTACACACAAATTTATTTTTCAGTTCATTTTGGGCCATTTTGACTTTTGTCGGGACTTTAGAGCTCAGATGTCAAGTTTCTGATCCTTTTAAGAACTTCGGATAGTAAAAAAAACAGACCTAGGTAAGAAACTTTGCATTCACAGACTTTTTTGAAAATCCCAAAATTTTCAGCTAATGGCCGAAATTTGAAGGACACTTGTTTTTCCACGTGTTCAGTACAATAAGACGCCAAAAAAACGGTTTCTTTCAGAAATTAGCAAATATCTGAAAAAAAATTTTTCAAAAAATTTTGTGAATGCAAAGTTTTTAATCTAGGTCTGTTTTACAACCTTCAAAATTACCAAGTGTTTACATGACAGCCGTGCTCCAGACATCTGAAAATGGGAAACATGGGCGTAAATCAACTGTAAAATATGTTTTTTGTATATCTTCTCGACCGGTAATGTAGATGTTACTTTTCTACCTAAATCTAGCGTTAGGTTTAATTGAAAAACATTCTAATACGAAATCATTTGCGTTCGGGAAGACTAATCTTTGAAAAGACAAGATTTTCCTGTTTTAAAAGACTATAGCGTTCATCAAACTTTGCATTCCCTTTTCTGACGGCAGATTTATAAAAGCTATTGATTGAATGAGAAATTGCAGTTGGAGATTATTGGTTATTCCAAGAACAGCTGAACTTTTTATTTCCTTTTCAAACAATATAATTTTCGAGGTTTTCACTCCATACTTCTTCAATCTATTTTAACTTATTTCGATCTCACCAAGGCACACCCATAAAATATAAAATTCACGTCATCAAACTACATTTAAGGAAAAAAAAGGGAAAGGATACCTTTGTTTCTTCTTTTCCCCTCTCGGATATCGAAAAATCAGATAGAGAGAGTGATGAGTAAAGAAGGGGCGACCCTTAACCGATTAGAATCAACTCGGAGAAAGATTTTTGATCTTTGTGAGGCAGCCTGCTGCGCACGGGGGCTACGCTCTAGAGATAGGTAAGTCAGACCATCCATGTTGCTAGTTGAAAAGTGATTTTCTCACTTATTTCTTATTATTTCGATTATCTTCTTATCATTCACGAGAAATCCGCAGTGTAGTGTCTAGCAATGCTATCATGTTGCGTTTTCTAATCCATCTCGTTCTCTCGTTCTTTTTGTTCTCGCGCCTACTTTTTTTTCGATGAAAAGTTTCATATAATCCTCTTTTTCTCTCGTTGGTCACAACTTTTTGTTTCTCTCTTTTTCTTTTTGGTGATATATCAACCGACGTGAGATTTTGTTTCGATCGGATCTAACTTTAGCCAACACAACTGACGTGTGGAGCCTGCTGATCGAAAATCATTGGGGTTGAAAAGTTGCGATGTTTATATATTTTATTGGATTGTAAGCTAGCAGTGTTATGAAATAAAACGGAAGCGGTTTTTTTCTAGTTTAGTTGTTCAAGTAACAGATGTTCGCTAAGATAAAATGTTTTAGAAAACAAAAGGAAGCGTTGTTTCGCTTTTCAAAATTTAATCTATTTTAGATATTTATATGTTGTATTTCCTTTAATAGAAGCTTATACTTTGAGCTCAATTATCTCGATTCCTCTGAAAGGTGTCAAAAAATAGTTTACTTTCAAAATATTTCTGAAATTATGATGAATATTCTGTTAGTTGACTAGTCTCTAATATCTCTTACAGGAAATGAGATATATAGGCTCAAAGTTGACGGTTTGGGTAGGCTTGTATTAGAGAAAATACGGGTTTTCGGATTTTTTGATTTAAATTCACTGAAAATTAATTTTGAGCAATCACAACCCTCAAAAAAATTGAAAACTCTTTTTGTTTTAAAAATAAAAAATTCCTAGACAATCTATTCAGTCTCTAAAGTTACAATTGTTTTTTGATTTTTGGGTTTTTTGAAATCTCGATTTGCTTTTAAAAATCCTTTAAAAACGTTGTATCGACACATACACTATCTTAAACACTCAATCATCTTCCATCACCGATTAGGTATCGTTTTCTCGCATTTCTCCACTCCCTTCCTGGCGCCTTTCTTTTTAAGTACTGTCCGTTTGATTTAAATCATCAAGTTCTCCCTCTTCCACCAGATGTTTCTTTCATAGTAAATAAAAAAAAGAGAGAAACGTACTATTCGAACTGAATGAATCGAGAGATAATGAGAGTGTGTGAGTAGAGAGGACAAAACGAGAAATGCCCTCATTCCTCTCTTCTCTGATTCTCTTCCATTTGCGTTCTCTCTGCTCGCTTTGTTAATAGGAAAAGGTTAGTCCCTCTCTGATGTCTCTTCCAACACCAATCCATGTATATTTGTGTATATTACCGGACACGGTTCTTCCCTGCATCCTAACAAACCAAACCATTCTCGAGACAACCGACCGAGACACGGCAGAAAATACAAACACAATGATCTTTGTGTGTGCATGTATTTCGGACGTCAGATCAAATAGATATTCTTACGGTGTTGGTGGTGGGAACGTGAGAATCAATCATTATCATTTCCTAATCAACCCGGATATTCTCATTTGTTAGCGCGGGTATTGATGAGCTTTTTCATCCCTTGTAGAATAAGAATTCGGTTCTTTTTTTACAACTTTCTGTTTTCTTTACTTTTACAACTCGTCTAAACATCAGAATCGATTGTTTCTCGTCTTTGATCAGTATCGTTACTTTCACTATCACTGTTACCGTCATCACATTCGCCATACTTGTTTGCCTCGAAGCTCTTCTCTGTAATATTCTCTTCTTTTTTGTCATTACGTCTCCACGTGCTTATCAATCATCCAACTGATAATGTATGTGCTCTCGAGTCGAAAAATCATAAGAATCATTCACAGAATTGTAGCGAAATGTAACAGGAATCGAGATAAGAAATGTGTTTAACAAAAAAAAAAGAAAAATCTTTGATGACCAGAGACTATTCTTTATTGTTACAACTAGATACGTTCCCATAACGCGGCATTTCTTAGATATCGGTTTTAATGTAAACCGTCTTGTTGGCTTACAATGCTCTTATGCAACTGTATGAACCATCTCTCTTATTTTTCTTACAGCACCAGCGCAACCTTTCTTTACACAGGTTTCCTTTTTATTCTGTTTCTCTTCTCTCTCAAAGTTTGCCACGCGGATCGTTGCGATTGCGCTCTGCGCAATGTTTTACAGTTGTTCTGTTGTTTCTGGTTTTGTTTCAGGATTTTTCAAAACTGTAAATTATCCTTTTTTGGGCTAGAATCTTTTCCAATAGTGCGCAAAATATCAGTTCTTGGAGTTCTGATATTTGTACACAGAGAATGTGTACTTTGTTCTTGACATTCGCCATTTTCAACAAAAATTGGTACAGTACCAGGTCAATAAGATTTGCAAAAATCATATTTTCAGTAGATTTGCGGCATTTCCAGAAGTCTGGAGCTCACATTCAGCTGTCAAGTGTATGATCACTTTGAAAAGTTTGGAATGGGTGAAACAGACCTAGATTGAACATTTTCCATTAACAGAATTTTCTGAAAATTCCTTGTTTTTCAGCTTTACCGATATTTGTAAAACACTCATTTTTGCCTGTTTTTGGACTGAAAACGTGAAAGAAAGTTGGCGTATTCCAGAAATCGGCGACTATCTGGAAAACTAGGAATTTTCAGAAAATTCCATAAATGCAAATTTATTAGTCTAGGTCTGTTTTACACTCTCCACAATTTTCAGAATGATCGGAAACATGGTAGCCGTGGTCTAGACTCCTAAAATAGTCGAAATGGGCAAAAATCCGCTGAAAAATACGTTTTTGCATATTTTGTTGACCGGTTTTGTATATTTTGTTCTTGGCATTCACTTTTTTAACAAGAGTTGATAGTTTCCTATCTATTAGCTTCATTATTCTAAGAAAATCATTCCCAGAATTCAAAATGAGCCCACGAGACAGCACACAAATTATTCATGAGTCAAGTCGGGCTCTTTCGAAAAAAATAAGGAACTGGAAGAAAATCATTTTAAAAACACCCTCAAACATTATAATATTCTTTCCCGCTGACTTGGAAAGTATCCGAAAAATATCCGGCTCACTCATTCAAATCAAATTTGTTCTCATTTTTCATCATAATACTGTCTAATCTTCTGTCTTTTGCAGCAGCTCTGAAAAATTTCCATATTTTCGTGATGTCGGTTTTTTTCCCTTTTTTTCATCGTTCAATAGAATAGCTCATACTCGAAAAAATATATACATTTATCCAGTTTTTTTTCAGCTGAACAGAGAGCGGCAGCAACGCCCACCTAGTAGGAAGCGAAGAGCCTCTGTGGTGACAAACAACACATCACCATCGTCGTCTGGTCCCGTTCGTCGTCGTGTTCGACGCTTCTTCTGTGATCCACCACACCCCGACTGGAAACAACAACATCTTGAAACGACACCGTCACAGCCGTCAAAATTTCGCCGCTATCATCATCCACGCCTTCCACGTCATCCGCGCGGATTATGAAAGACGAATATAATTCGCAGGTACAACTTTTTTAAAAATCAGGGTTTACATATTTTTTGAAATTATTTTTGGTCGGTGCTGTTTGATAAATTAGGGAATATAAAATCGGCCGAGATAAAAGATGGTGCCCTAAACAGGAAGAGGCCGTGAGAACCTCGTCACTTTTTAATGAATAACTAATAAACGAAGATAGATAACGAGACCCCAAAACTTTTAGTAATTCTAGGAATTGAGTGGGATGATGTCTGGGGAGACATGAGTCTCTGAAAAACTGGAAAATTAAAAAAAATCAATATTTTTGCAGGAATGTCAAGTCTGTTCAGCGCCTGCGGATGGTCTTCACTATGGAGCAATTAGTTGTCGTTCCTGCAATGCATTTTTTCGGCGGACAGTTGTAGAAAAAGCAGTGAGTATTTATTTGAAAACCACTCATGATAGGTTTTTGGGTTTTTTTTCAAATTGTGGCCGAAATAATTTGAAAAGTTGAGATATTCCAGCTTGCATTCTATTACCATTAAAGCTGCCATACTTGTGTTACGCCAGAAATAACATATTGCGAGTTGATTCATAAAAACAATTTTTAACTAATTTTTGCAATTTTCAAAAATCTCAAATGAAAACACAAACTTCATTTATCCGCCCGAAACCAACAAAGCCCAATTAATTTGTGCTCTTGTAAACTGTCTGCTTTGTGCTACTTCTATCTTCTTGTGCCAATATAAGGTCCTGTGGTGTTGCACAAAAATCACTTGTTCTAACAGCGTAGCCTCTGAGTGAAGAGCGTATGTAAACATTTTTCATAAGCTTCCGATTGGCTTTTTCCTTTCTTTCTCCTCGATAATTTAGGGATCCAAGATCACCGGGAAGTGGCGACTCGGCCAACCATAGATGAGAGAAAAAACGAGAGAACTGATAAAAATTTGTGCTTTTGCAGAAAAAGACAATAACTAGCCAAATTTGGTTCTCTGGAAAAAACTGAAAAAAAAACTCCGAAAACAGACAGAAGCAAATAATAACACTTTTTGAGAATGAGTGCTAGACTAGTTCTAGACATTTTCAGAGATTTTCAGAATCCGTTATTCATTTCCTTATGATTTATTTTCCAGGAATACCGATGTAAACACACAAACAGTTGCGTGATTGACCCGGATGGGAGGTGTGCGTGCAGGTCATGTCGTTTCACCAAGTGCCTTGAAGCGGGGATGAAAGTTTCTGGTTAGTGATGATTCTAGCACAACAAATAAGTTGACTTATGAGTAATAAGCACGCTTGAGAAACACTTCCTCGTGCCTAAACCCATAAATGATCAAAGAAGGAAAAAAAGTTGCTCTTTTTGCAGCTGTCCAACCACGTCGCGACCCCACTGGCTCACAGAAGGAAAGGCGGAAACGGACGCTAAACGGGGATTCGGTATCTTTAGCGGGCAGTCCACCTGAACGGAGTAGTAATAGTTTTTCATCGGATGTACCTACACCTTCAAGTTCATATATCGTTGATGCTATCCGAACAGATTATGGATTTTCTACTCCAAGACGAGTTTCCACAGACTACGTGAATTCTCCTGGAGTATACAAGAAACATGTCAAGTTGGAGATTGATGATGAGCCGATTCCAAGTACAAGCACAATTTACAAGGTATGGGTCAGCAATGATATCGGAGGTTACAGTAGCTTTGTAGTACCGGTTAATAAGATGTAAAAAAAACGGAATTTTCAGTTGATCTCCAGTCATTTCGTCGATTTTTACAAGTCTGGCGCCCGGCTGTAAGGTTGCTGATCACTTTGAAAATTTTTGAGGGTGTAAAGCAGACCTAAATTTAAAAACTTTACACTCACAGAATTTTTTTTTAAATTTTATAGTTTTCGAGCTACCGTAAAACCTCTAATAGAACGACACCCGGATCGTCCACTTTGAGCCTATATATCTCATTTTCTGTGAAAGATATCAAA